CCGTCTAAGAGCAAACGGGCATGGCTAAAGGTATTGTCAACTCGTTGCGTAATGATTCACGTACCTTCCCCTATAAATCATATATATTCCACGTCTTTTGAAAACACATCGGGACTTACATTATTATTCAGTACGATTGAACACATTTAACTGTATCTTGGGTATATTTTTAAATGCAAGACATATGTAAGAACAAAACATATTCCTGAGGGATTCTTTGACCGAAGTGCTTGAAGTCATACGCGCATTCTGATTGGTTTGTCGTATTTTCGCACATAACATTCATGAATAAGGTGACGAGTCTTCTTGCGGGTTACGGAAAGGAACGAGGGGCGACGAATGTGTGCTGCGCCTGTTTCGGGCCCGATTATTTGCTTGTGGCCACCATGGATCGTTTCACGTGTTTTCAGTCACCTGTTTACCAGCGTCCCGTTTCGAGCTAGGCGGACCCGGCGGACGAACGTCCCACGCATGTTGTCACTGTAAACCACCGTCCGACCGATCCCTGCACACACAGATGGTACAATGTATCGGCAAATACGGAAAAAAAACTTGTTTTAGTTTAAACAATTATGCAAACAATGAGATATCGAGCAACATTCGTATACGGATCTGCCACTGTGTTGTGATCGTGACGTGAACTATTGAAACTTGTTATTCCATTTCCAATATATAATTTAAGGCGTGATGTTTTATATGGCTAAAGAATATGTTATAGTTATGTTGTATGTTATATTGTATACTTATATCCATGTTTTAAAACTCATTGTAAATAGTTTTCTATGTACGTCTGTCTGTCTGTCTGTCGGGTGGTGTACTTAAGTCTGAATATCCGGGGTAGAATAGGACTTAAGCAACCAATGTTGGCCGTAAAAGGCGACTGCTTGTCGTAAGAGGTGACTAACGGGATCGGGTGGTAAGGCTCGCTCACTAGGTTGATGCATGTCATCGTATCCTAATTGCATGGATCGATGCTCATGATGTCAATCTATTGATTGTCTGGTCCATACTCGACTATTTACATTTTACTATTTATATAGCTGGAATATTGCTGAGTGCGGCGTTAATCACAAACCACTTAAGTCTATATTCGTTTGGACTCCCTGACAATATTAATCTTGTAATCAATTATTTGATCCAGAAATAACGGGGAAAACATATTTGCTTAAGGGTTTAAAAAAGCAAATTGTTCTCTTGACATGTAGAGTTTATAAATAAAATATATTTTTAAAAAAAACTCCTCGTATACTACTCAGAAGAGGTTAAGGATCACACGATTCATTTATATTACTGTAGTTAATCTGTCAAGCCATGGATGTCATGTACATGCTTTCATTATGAATATATTTGTATTGTGGTGTCTCGTGGGTCATATTTGGCCGGACAATGTACATTGATGAAGGATTTGTATTATCTTATACGTATGTACATTGTGTGACAATTTAATAAACATGAATGGTCCCTACCTACACGTATATTGTGGCCCTGAAATCGCCATTCACAAAACAGTTTCAACACACACCCACAGTTATCAGGATTAAAACTTACCTTGTGTGGTAGACGCTATGTGTCACTGGCTACATTCATACAACAGACCCGTGAAGATTCCGGGGTAGAATAGGTCTTCAGCAACCCATACTTGCCGTAAAAGGCGACTATGCTTGTCGTAAAAGGCGACTAACGGGATCGGGTGGTCAGGCTCGCTGACTTGGTTGATGCATGTCATCGATCGATGCTCATGACATTAATCACTGGATTGTCTGGTCCAGAGTCGATTATTTACAGACCGCCGTCATATAGCTGGAATATTGCTGAGTGCGGCGTAAAACAACCAACAAACCAACCAACCAATTCATACAAAATCCTAAAGATGAATATACAAAAGGAGAGTATACACTTCAAAATTGGGTTTGCACAAAACATTAAAAACGTTATGAAAACGTTACAAGGCTAAAAACAGTCGCCGAAACGTAAGGTCCAAAACACAACTATGACATCCGTTTCAAATATAACCATTTTTTGTTTAAAGTCAGCGGATAATCAGTATCCAGTCAGCTTGTTCCTTAATCCTCATCCTTAATGTACATCTGGCTTCATTGTCTATGTACATCTGGCTTGATTATCTGTTTGTTATTCCTACTGTACATCTTGCCTTGATGATTGTGTATGGAGACGAGCTAGTACTTCCAATACCTACACAAAAACATTTCGTCATTTAAACCATGAGCCGAAATATTTGTTTAAGAAAAAAACACTTACGAGTAGTAATTATGTATTTTTGTGGCAGACATTTTTCAACAGTCTGAAGCATAATTATTTTCTTCTAGCATTTTCTGAGACAATTTCTTTTTTTATGGCCACCATCAAACATGGGTGTATACTTTCTAAGCCCGGTAGTTTATTAAGTGGCATTGTTAAATAACAAACATTTCTACAACTTAACTCCAACTAATCTGGTAAATTTGTTAAATATTTTTAAAGATTGATTCGTTTACTTAAGGTATAAAATGGCTATTATGTTTCCACGCCTCCACTGTTGTGTTTACAAGTCAACAAATGGTTTGTTAATTAACCGCAGTAACGGTGCTACTTAAAGAGAAATCCTATTGTTTCAGGAACTACCGTGCACAATGTGCAGAGCGTGTTTTCACACGCATTTCAGCACTTTGTTTCACTTCATTCAAAGCTGCGAAAAATAAGCCTCTCTCTTTCTGTTAATGGCCGTGGGCGTCCCGGCTTGTCGGTATCGGGGCTGGGGACTTTGTTTTTATCATTACGTCACTGTTCTGATCGCAGTCAATCATCTGGCCCTTACACAATCAGTCAGACTCACTGCAGGCCACATTCAGCGACCATATGCCAATGATGATGTAACCGGCGAACGATATTTATCACTATCGCGATTTGATATGGATGGCACGTGAGAAATGATCTTTGTTTACGTAATAAATGATTTTTTATTGATGTCAAGAATGATGATTGATGATCAGCAATGGTGAAACCTTTATTTTCTCGGTTGAGCTATTTTAGTTCGACTTACAAAACGGAGACAAAGATTATAATAACTGTTGCTACAACAATACAATCATGACGGATATGATAGTAAATATAATGCTAGCAATGATGTTAATAATAATTAATGAAGATAGCGGCGACTGCGACGACGACGACGATGATGATGATGATGATGATGATGATGATGATGGTGATGATGATGATGATGATGATGTTGATGATGGTGATGATGATGATGATGATGATGATGATGATGATGATGATGTTGATGATGATGATGATGATGATGATGATGATGATGATGATGATGATATTTATTTCCACATAGGTGCAATGGAAGAACATTGATTAACAGGTGACAAGCCTGTATCTAAATAAATTGTATACACCCATGCTTGATTGTGGCTAAAAATGAAACAAACAAGAAAGTGTTATTGGATGATGAGGTCTTTGACACGGGTGTCCTAGTTGTGTTTTGCACCATATTAAGTTTCCAGCGTTTCGGCGACTGTTTTCAGCCTAGTAATCTTTTCATAGCGTCTGTACTGTTATGTCAAATCCAATTTTCAAGTACATTGTAGATACTTTCTATTTTCCCGGCAGGTCATGACTTTCCATTGAGATTGAACAACATGTTGAAACAGACATGTTTGATTTATAGCATCACAAACACAACACAGTATGTACTGGGAGAGTACATACTCTCAACAAAGGAAGGTAAAAAAACGGTGGCAACAGGTGTATGCATATCCATTCACGTGTGGTCTAATAAGTATGTTATAAAAACTATCAGATTGTGTTGCAAATAAACCGCGAGGAATATTTATTATTATCTTTTTATACCAAAAAGGAGTAATTAATAGTTCGTGGCGCCTGGCTCTATTCTAAGGACGTTTCTAGCATGTGTAAGGGGCGGTCGGGTAGCCTAGTGGTTAAAGCGTTGGCTCGTCATGCCGAAAACCCGGGTTCGATTCCCCACATGGGTGCAACATGTGAAGCCCATTTCTTGTGTCCCCCGTCGTGATATTGCTGGAATATAGCTAAAAGCGGCGTAAAACAATACTCACTCTACCATATGTATAGGTAAAAAAAGTCGGTCCAAGAGTGGGAGTGGGCACTCCTTCCTCGACAGAAGAAAGCCGGTTTAGTACTTTATATCACAGGTGTGATGAATGATGATGTATTAATCTATTGACATTGTGTACCTCATTTTTCCCCCGGACCATCACGTGCACGACAGGAATTGCGCCTAATGAAGTTTTCAAGACAATTATATTGGTAATGGTAATAACATGATGACAATAGAGTCACGGCAATGATAACGACATTAATATTGACGATGATGGTGAAGGTGTTAAAAATGATGATTGTGATTTGTTGATGACGATGAAAGTAATTCCATTCTCTCCCATCAAATTTCGTGATCGCCTTTTTTTAAAGCAAATATCACCTCTGTATGTCTATGTACACATACAATATTGCTATATGTTTGGCATCATATGATGATGATGATGATGATGATGATGATGATGATGATGATAAATGATGCTGAATGCTGAGTGCGGCGTCAAACAACAAACAAACAAATCTTATTTCCCAAGTCATTTATTATCATTATCATTTATTTTGTGATTTAACACTAGCGACGCTTGTGGCAATTAAATAAACATAAGAATAATTATAAATTTATTTTCAACACAATACCACAACACAGTGTGATCAGACCTTCCGTCTTTACACATGACTGTGACGTATGTTGACAAAATTAATGTTAGTGTAAACATAAGCCTACCAAAACCGTAAATTCTGCTGACAAATCGCAAAAATCAATGGGGTTCATTAAAACCTGGATTTCACAAAGGTAGCGTAATACCAGTGGAATTACCCGTTAAGTGGGTGTTTTCGCCCAGTGATTACCAACCGGCAATGTGATAAGACACCAGCCTCGTCTGTGATTGGCCATGAGGTGACCCCCAATGGCGAAACGTGCTTAGCGTCTGGGTCACAACTGTTCCGGGTTTTACTTCGGTACGGCCCGGTATAGGAGACAGCAAAGCCAGCTGTTACGGCGAGGGTGGTACGAGAAAATGTCTGTTCAGCAAAAGCTTGCATTTAATGAATCAAAAGGTAAGTTAACTTCAAGTTTTGATGAATTTTTCGATTTGAATCTGTTATATCTTTAACAACCTTCAGTATTTCATTTACTGTCCGTGATATCATTTGCTTGTTGACAATATTGTTCGTGCCGAGTCGCTCGTGTAGACTTGCTCAGGCTCTCTACAATATTTTGTCTGTCAGACGGGACTGCATTCGAGCGATTTAAAAGGCCCTGATCTAACGACAGGGCTCTTTTGGAGACATTTCGTCATTTACTGTGTAAAATTATATTCGTTTTCATGTGCATTGACAACTGCAGTAGACTGGGTTTTTTTTAAGTCAATATTGAATTTTGTCATTTGTCTTCTGGGTTTCCCAATTCAACTTGCAAATGAAATGGAAATCAAAGTAATTTTATCCTTTCCCATCTAATTTTGTGATCTTGTTATTTTAGCCGATATTATCTCTGAATGTTATGAAACAATATACACATAATATTTGGGAATATGTTTACACGATATTTCAATCTGTGTGACATGATGTTACATTATTGAACTTGTACGTGTGTCTGGGCTTTCAGTATTCTTCCAGCTCTATGTTTTGGGTTGTAAACTCAGCCAATGTTTAAATTTGAAACTCAAGAAATAAAACAATTTCCTTTTATACACACATTCATATCATTCTGTTTTTTAAATTCATATAAAAAAATCATAATCTTGATAAAATGACCAAAATTTTTAATTGACAACCCTTATTTAATGTACACATCATGTAAAATTCAACTACCCTCATAAATTCTCCATCATCATCATCATCATCATCATCATCATCATCAACACCCTGCACATTGGTGCATGGTGCACCAATGTGCACCTGGCATGCACCTGCAGCATGTCTTGTTCATTTCCTGGCCCAATACACAAGCAATTATCTTGTGTAACTGACTGGGCAATAAAATGTCCAAGGGAACATCAAATTGTCCAATAATTGTTCAATTACCCAATAATTAGAATACAATAAATTGAACGTGAGCCCCATTAATGATCCGCTAATGGTTGTCAGAGTTTGGGGGGATGTTTAGTAGGTCTGGGATGATACACCAACTCAACTGTGGTCCGATACATATCACGATACGTGTATGTGCTCTTACCTGTGGTGCATAAGCCATCTTATTCATTGGCAGGATGGCCAAATACCTGGCACACTGACGATTTACAGTTGGCAGTGTCAAGTATGGTGCAATGTATGAAAATATTTACTTTTTCACTACTATTTTACTACTAATTAGTGTTTGGTGTAACAGCCATTAAAGTAAACATTTAAGGTATGAATGGATATTTTTTACTTTGCGTGCGACTATGTATCGGGAAGTAAAATATCGCGATCCATTGATGCATCAGTGTATCGTCCCTCCACTAATGTTTAGAATCATTAACTCATTATGTCTGTAGACTGCTATGTAGAAGGGCCGACATCCTCCCAAACATAAACAACATTTACTGATAATGTTTATATTTACAAGGTAACATTGTTACCCTCCCTAGCACTCGGCATTAAGGGGCTAAAACAAGGACTGGTTGGCATGGAGTCAGTATACCGTGTCTGAGTACGATATCCTTCTACACCCAGCGACACATGTGCCTGAGTTCAATAATCTTGAACGCTTAATGAATTCCCATGTAACCTCGCCTTGAGTTCACAATGTATTGATAAGTACATACACAGCACATCATCATCATCATCATCATCATCATCATCATCATCATCATCATCATCAGCGCAAGATTACTGTGCCTAATGACAGTATATGGATTTTGTAGGGCTTGGACAGGTAACTTGGGTACTCGGGTCGGGTGGGTCCTGAGTAGGACTCTGGTACCCACAGGACTACCCAGACCCCTGGTTATTCATGTGATATATTGTTTAATGACAAAAATTATCTAAAACACTATGGTTACACTACAAGTCACTAATGTTCTTATTCCTTTCTGTCAATGCACCCAATTCCTTCAGACTTTTATATGTTTGAATAAAGATAAAACATCATGCAGTAAACTTCAGTGTATGCATGACCGGTTTGTTTAAACATGTGTATCTAAATGCATTTTGCCAGGGCTACGGTTAAACATTTCCAAATCGGACAGTTTGTACCTATCTCTAAACATCTACGGCACGTACCCGGGTAGGGTCGGGTAATAGGGTGGTGGGTACCTGGGTAGTAAATTTGGACTCGTCCCAGCTCTAGTATTTTGTAGTGGATGGACAGACAGACAGACAGACAGATATTTTAATTATGTCTCACTGAGTGTACAGCATTATTTATAATCAAGGTACATATATAATAGTACACACACCATTCCTTATGGAATTATGAGAAACTAAAACAATTTTAAAGCCATTTATCATGTTTATTCAAGGTGGAGAAGATGAAATATAACGTTTAATACTTAGGATTTATACACAAGGTTTCGACGATTGGTAGGTATAAAATAAGCGGTTGGGCAACATGTTTGACAATATTATCGGTGGAGAATATAAAGTATAAAGTCTCTACATCATTCAGATAATCACAATCTTCTTGAACATCTCAAACTATATTTTCGAGAGAATCGTGTAGATCACCATACACATGGCATTTCAAAACACATGTATTCCATGTTCTACATCATCACAACACAGAGGACATATTCGCTGTTCCAACGGCAGGTTTTCATAACGCCCAGTCTCCAGTCTTATGGGGGCAACTCCGCATCTGAATGTAGCTGACGCACTGGGATGAGACTCGGGTAAGGCTCTGGTTACATAAGATCCTGGGCCCCATTCCACAAAGCGATCTTAGCACTAAGGTGATCGTAAGTCCCATACTCTAACATAGGTTTACGATCATCGTACCGCTAAGATCACTTTGAGGAACGGGGACGGGTAACTCGGGTTCCCGAGTTGCATGGGTAGTGATTAGGACCTGGGTACTTGCAGAACTACCCCGACTCGTGGTTAGTCACATGATATATTGTTTAATAACAAAAACTATCTAGAACTCTATGGTTACACTACAAGTCACAAATGTTCGCATTTCTCTCTGACTATGCACCCATTCCTTCTTACATTTCAAATCTTTGAATAAAGATATAACTTGAGTCAACTTCAGTGTATGCATGACCAGATTGTTTAATACATGTATGTTAATACATTTTGCCAGTGCTATGGTAAATAAATGCCCAATCGGACATTTTGTACCTATCTCTTGAGACCGACAGTGGGTACCTGGGTAGGGGTGGGTAATAGGGGGTGGTTACCCGGGTAGTAAATTCGGACTCGTCCCAGCCCTACTGCACAATATACATTTTTAAAAATGTTATGTTTAAACTAACTTCACCAGCATATTTCAATGGTATAATTATTTTGTGTTTGTTGTCATGGTTATACAAACATTTTTTTATTTGTTTCTACTTTAGTTTCTTAACACATGCATTTGATGCCAAAATAGATATTGAAATCCCGGCTTTGCAAAATTGCACAGATAAGTATCCTTCAACAAATGCATTGCACTGACATATCGAAACAACCCTTAATGTAGACTGCAGAGCAGAACTTGAAATCTGGATATATTGATCTGTGTGCATCTTCTTGGTATTAAAAAATGTCCTGTGAAGCAAGTTCACAGTGACCCTTTGATGCTAGTGATGTGAGTAAAATATTTGTCTTGTGAAATGCATGTCAAGAGTCGTTCTCGTTTATTGGAGACTGAGTCAACATGGTCAAGTAGGACACTTCACTACACGCATTGATGAAAATAACTCTTCAGGAAAGATATTATGAAATGTCAAAATAGAACATTGCAGATTATACCTTTGCTGTGTTTGAACATGGCTGTTGCCACAGAGATGACAACACACATGAACCTGACAACACACATGAACCTGACAAAACACATGAACCTGACAACACACATGAACCTGACAACACACACGAACATGACAACACACACGAACATGACAACACACATGAACGTGACAATACACATGAACGTGGCAACACACATGAACCTAACAACAAACATGAACCTGACAACACACATGAACCTGACAACACACACGAACATGACAACACACACGAACATGACAACACACATGAACGTGACAATACACATGAACGTGGCAACACACATGAACCTGACAACAAACATGAACCTGACAACACACATGAACGTGACAATACACATGAACGTGGCAACACACAAGAACCTGACAACACACATGAACCTGACAACACACATGAACCTGACAACACACATGAACATGGCAACACACATGAACCTGGCAACACACATGAACCTGACAACACACATGAACGTGGCAACACACATGAACCTGACAACACACATGAACCTGACAACACACATGAACCTGACAACACACATGAACATGGCAACACACATGAACCTGACAACACACATGAACCTGACAACACACATGAACGTGGCAACACACATGAACCTGACAACACACATGAACCTGACAACACACACAAACATGACAACACACACAAACATGACAACACACACGAACATGACAACATACATGAACATGACAACACACACAAACATGACAACACACAAAAACATGACAACACACACGAACATGACAACATACATGAACATGACAATACACATGAACATGACAATACACATGAATGTGACAATACACAGCATGTTTATGACAGCCATGGGTCAGTATACAGTAGCTTATTATGTATTGATTCAAACTGCTAATGTACAATATGTTAAAAAGAGTAGAAACAAGCCATTGTGACTGAATACTGACTTCAACTCAATACCTTCCTGGCTCAATCTTACATCAACTCAATACCTTCCTGGCTCTATCTTACATCAACTCAATACCTTCCTGGCTCTATCTTACATCAACTCAATACCTTCCTGGCTCTATCTTACATCAACTCAATACCTTCCTGGCTCTATCTTACATCAACTCAATACCTTCCTGGCTCTATCTTACATCAACTCAATACCT